TTAAGCAAGGTAATTTCTCATGGCATGGCAGAGATAAGGTAGTACACACACACAAAAAAATTTCTTATTCAGTGGAAGTGCAAGTCAAGCCTTGCATTTATAAACTACACAGATGAACAGGCTGTGGTTTTGAGGCTCAGCACAGAAAAAAAGTCTCCTGTGGTTTGCTGGTTACTATGAAGATCTAGTCTCAAATGTGCTATGTTAAACCTGTCCTTCCTCTTTGGCCTGACTAAATCATCAGTTGGGTTCAGGATGGTACCAACCCCTTACTTTTGGAATTAAGAGCACTTCTCTGGTTTGGTCCCGAAGATGAACTCTGAGGCTTAGTCTTAGTAAGCTGATGATTTTCTTAGATAGAGGAACTCATTTTAGGAAACCAATTATTGCATGTGAAGGTTAGCAGGAACTGAAATTAAGCATTTTTAAAATTCAGTATTAAAAACCTTAAAAATCCTTTTCACTCTAAAGCAGAGCTAGAGTGAAAGTGGTGACATACTTTCTTTCCTTTCTTGAAGAAACAACCTGAAAATTATTACAGAAATTAAGAAACTTAGTTTATTGTAATAGCATCTGAGGCATCAGCCATAATAGATCTCGTTTATGTAATATAAACAGACGTGGAGGAAGCTCTGCTTATAGCAGATTCTTTAGTCTCTGCTAAGGTACTGGGTGACTTACTAACTGGATCCAGTGAGAGTCATCTTGCTGAGAAATAGCTATCTAAATACGCAGTCAGATAAACATATGAGGAAGAAACTCACACTGTCACAACGTTAATTTGGCTGTTGGGGATGAGGACATGCTTGCTGCTGTCAGAGCCCACTCGATAACTTGGCACGAGAAGGGGAGTTTTGGCTCATTTGTACAGATGAGGATGCCTCCACACCGGGAAGAACGCTTCTGCAAACAGTGTTTGTCTGAAATGCAGGCAGAAAATTTAAACACCAAGGAGGAAAAATGTGACATGAAGCAATCTGTCAAAGGGATCCGAGTCATTAAGATGAAAAAGGCTGGGTGAACTTTAGAGACTGAAAGTTTCCTTAGCTAGGCTGGTGCCTAGTTTGAATACCACCTCACCCCTGCATCAGATGTGTTTAACTAAGAGCCTGAGCAGTACAGAACGGACTTAATGGACGTCAGAGGGTCTCTGATCTTTCAAGAAATCTTAAGCCTATTGATGAAGCATGACTTTGCAGAAGCTTTTGTGATCCAAGTCAGAGTCTCAGAAACTGATTTCAGGTACATAGATGTGAAAACGTAGCAATGGGAAGAAAGAGTGGAAATACTGCACCTAAGGTGAAAAACAAAACCCGTTCCCTGCTAATTCTGTGAGGCTGGAAACTATGCCAAAATCAAATGGAATAGGGCAATGACAGTGAATTTTTGTCACTTCCGGAAGAGGAACCGAAGCTCTCACTGTGCTCACGGCTGCGTCTGGAGTGCAAAGAACGCTGCCAGTCAGCCTCCCGGGGCTGTCAGCACGGGAACCGACACTCGCTGGAGCTGATGGCAGAATTGAGATATTCCGCACTTAGAGAAAGAGTCAAAATCATAGCAGACAGCAGGTACAACAGATACCTGCACACTTATAATCAAGTGCAAAAAAATTCATGTCTATCACCTACTGCTTAACAGCCTTGGCATGGCAGGTACTTGGCTTTCAAGATCAGCTGGCTGAAAATGTCAGAAAACACTCTACCTGACAAGTCATCTCTCCTCAGAAATCTGGTTTGTGGAGATCTCCTCATGATTGGGAATATGACAGCTCTGAGCAAACCCAGGCTTGGTTGGAAAATATCAGAGTTGACAGAGCCCATGTCCTTCCTTCCTGGGGGCACAGAAGGACGGAGAGCTGGAGAAAAAATGAGATAGCCTGGCTAGCAAGTGCATGGCCTGGACTACGTATCGGTGGCCAGCGTTACCATGCCACTGACTTGTGTAGTATGCACAAAGTAGGACAAGTGCTTTGTTCAGAAGTATCGTCACATTTCCTCAGAGACTATCCTTTACAAACTGTGCTGATACTGCACTGAACAGATGAATTTTGAGCCAAAAAAAGATGAAGTTTGGAGAAGACCCAAGGATGATTACTGCTTTCAGAATAACACACATTTCATCTAGGAGAAATTCTGCAATGACAAGGTTGAGCCAACCCTTTCTTTTATCACATCCACGAGAGTGAAACTTGCTTTTTTTTTCCCTGTACTGCACAGCTGGCATCAATGCTTCAGAAAACCGTGGGTATCAGAGCTGGACTCAGCAACTGTTGAGAGGGAAGAATATGGGACTGGTGCAACAGCGATGAGACAAAACACTCAGAAAAAACAAAAGCAAGACACAGAGGAGGTTTTGTGTCAGATCAGTGCAGGAATTACTAGCTACTGGTCACCACCACAGTATGATGATGGCCATAAACCTATTTCTTTAAAACCTTTAAATAGGTCCAAGGAAGAACCAGATATGCAAAGCCTTCCTCCCAAGCACAGCCATAAGTTTAAATCAATTAACATTTTAGCGACTAAATTTTCACTCAGTTTCTAAATAATAACAGCTGTGAGAAGTAATGATGTTAGTGCACATTCATCCTCATTTTAGCTCTCTTGACTCCTGTGATTAGTGAGGAAGAGGTATTTGCCTATTAAGATGAGCTAAATATATGTAAGGATGATTGTTTCATAACAATTTAAAAGACGAAAAAGTCTGGCTTTCATCTGCAGATGGGGCATGCACTGATACACTACACAAGCTCTAATTATCCACTTACAACTATAATTACAGGGATTGTCTCAAAGCTGCCAGTCACTTGCCTTCAACATTCTTAGTAGTGAACTATTTACATTCCCTGTATCCAACCATAATATTTGATACAAGCTACACCTGCAAACTTTTCATCATTAGCACCAGTCTGAAAACAGCACATCCAAACAGCTTTACAGGCTTGAGTGGAAATCCTGAATTTGGACCAAGAGGCCTTCAGTAAAGTCTATTAGGAACTCTTCATCTGCTGCAGATCAGTAGATACCTTTAATAGCAGAACTGGCCCCACTCCAGTACTTGGCCTTGGCTGCTGCAGGTATTTTGAAGATAAATCAGCAATTTCAAGAGGCGAGGAGCTAGCTGTTTGGTACACAGGCATCCCTATAGATGCTGTGCTCCACTGCTTGCAAACTGTAAGCAGGTATCCACTGCAGTGGACAGCTCTCTCGTTCTCCTGTGCATATCGTTAATCAGCTTCACTCAAGGTATGAAATCCAAACAAAACTAAAACAGGCAGTTATTTAATGTTCTTGTTAACCATGGGGTAAGCTCAAATATGAAGGAGCATAGCCTAGCAATGAGGGTAAGGCACTGTCTAGTCTCTCCTCATTTAAATCCGTGTGCTCTTGCACTGACTTAAACGAAGCCAGAATCAGCAATAAAGCTGAGAAGCAACATCATTCTCTGCCCACCTTCGTCTTCACAAATGTGAAGTCTATTCAGTACAAGTTTTTTTTAAAGTTTGAATTTTCTTATTTAGGGTTCAAATAAACTCAAACTCAGATCAAACCCTAGTGGCAATAGTTAAAACGAACAGAGATCAATCATGCACATTATTTGAATACTGAAAGTAAAATTTACCTTGTTCAGAATGACAGCTCAAGGATGCAAATTAAGAATTTGGAATATTGTGGGATATAGCTTTTGGGTGACTCTGTTTACAGAAGAATATAGTTTTCTCAAAATCAATATTTTATATTATTTGTGTGCTGTCAATATAAACAGCTCTTTAAATGAGGAAAATCTCAGATAGAACTCACTTAACAGCAATATAGAGATCGAGTTTGTTTTTTGTCTTAACAAAAATCATGCTATTCCTCAAAATTTGTTCAAACATTAACCAAACAATATCTTAAATGCCAGTGATATTTAAAAAAAAAAAAAAAATGGAAACACTGAACCAAACACATTTGGATTATATTTTTCACTTGCCTCTATTGACACATCTATTAAAAATTCACACTTTTCTTTCAAGGATCTTCGGAATCATCCCCAGTTCTACCCCTGTGTAATGTTGTGCCACTCACATAACTATTATGCCCTGTTTCTGTTCTGCTACCTGTAAGATAAATGTACTCGGGCTACAGATTTAGTACTGTAAAATTTAGCAAACATTCGTGAAACTCTGAATCCTTGGAGCACAAAAGGCTATGGAAATGTTGCTGTGATTGCCTTAAAAATCAGGGGTCAAAATGTAAAAATCACATTACACTGGGAAAAGGAATTTCCCAGACCTCAGCCTTATCTGACTTTCTCCCTGCATGCGCCTTTGTCCCTTTGTAGGGAATCCAGTGCACTTACCCTAGGAATAGCACCTGGTCCTTTATGTTGGTCAGGTAGGCACTATGGAGCTCAGTGGTAGAGCTAGCGGTTCAAAGTCTACCCTCCCTTTGCCCTGTGCACGAAGGCGATACAGGGAACTCAGATTTGGATGCTCCCAATTTAATATGGGCATTTGTAATCTGTATCTCTGTATAATGTAACTATAGATATGAACTGTAGTCAAAGGGTCTGTAAATGGCAATAAAAGTATTTTGTGAAGGAAGAGCTTCAGGCTTACTCCTGCAAAACACATTTTTTCAATGAGTTTTTACAGCCACTGGTTCTACAAAAACAGAACCTCTCATTGATTTGTACTGGGAGTTCTACTTAAAACCAATAATATTATACGGGTTGGCAATGTGTATTTCAAGACATCTTCTCTCATTTGCTATTCTCTAATCTAATCCTAAAGGCAAAAAGTTTTTGCATTTTTTTCATAGCGAGACAATAATCTGACACTAAGTATTCCCTACCCATCAAAGCTCTCAAGACAGTGCCCAATTGCCACTCAGGTTTTCAGGATACAAACATATCCCGTGTAGCTGTAAATTTTGCTAAATCAGGTGCTGAGCATTACATAAATTCATACTATTGTCCTTGTTCTGAAAGACACACCTTTCTTTTGACACAAAACTCACCTTTTCCTTTTAGGTAGGATATAGTTTCCTTCATTACTGGGGGGATTAGTTCGCCTTTATTTTTGTCCTTGATACTGTTAGGAAAAGAAAAGAAAAAAGTAATGGCCTTTAAATGGCATTTATAGACAAAGAGACAAAACTAAGACAGAACAGTCTCAGCAAAAACCTGAGAGATATCTCAGAGCACAGGTTAAATTCCACAAATTAAGGAGCCCACACCTCGGTGCCCGCACCAAACGCAAGAGTCCTCCACAACTCTAACAGGTGCTCAATGCACCACTGAAGCAGGTGTCTTGGACTTCTATTCAAAAAGTCATTCTTCAACACTTTCTCCTCGCTAGAAAAGCCACATAGCTGAACAGTGCTGAGTAATAACAACTTACTAGTGTTATTTACTGTACTGAAGGGGAGTCACGGATAGAGGAGCAGAATAGTGTTCCAGGCTAACTTTGCCCTTTTGCTCCAGTTTTGTTCCCCTTGCTCGGCATGCCCCAGTAGGGCTGCGCTTAACCATGAGACAGTGATGGCGGCGGCTCTGGTCGGATTTGGTTGGACACTGTTGGTGGAACGGGGTTTCAAGGCAGCTTGGAGGCAGGCAAGGAAGGAGTTTGCAGTGAAGGCTTCATAATAGGTCTTGATCAAGGGATGCTACAAGTTTAAGAGCCTTTTATCATGCAGATTTTTCTTTGTCGTTTGTCTCTTTTTAAGCCACAGTGTTTGCATAATTAAAAGGATATTGTACTACTTATTTTGAAGGCAAAGTGATGCAGCGAGATTATTAATGCTTTGAACGATTCTCACGAAATGAGATTTCTTTCTCTTTCATGAGTGAACAGTTGAGGCAAAAAAAGAAAAATCGAACATAGCATTTTCTTGATCAGCGCGGAAAATTCTGCGATTATCTTCATTATTTAAAAAAAAAGTCTCTGGTAGTTTAAAAAGTGTAACAAAAGAGACAGTATCTGCTGAGTATTCTGCTACATTTTTATAGTCATCAACAACAAAATAAAGGACAAATCTCACATTTTAAAGTAGACTCAATATATATTTATGTGTACAATTTCATATTGGATATTTAAAAGGTGATTGGCTTTACTGACAAATTCTAAAGCACCGCAAGAGCACAGCGCAGAGATCTGTGACTGTATCATAAGAGGCTGAAAATGCTGCAGCTCATCGACAGAAAATGCGAGACGTAACACAGCCGTCACCTAGCACTGCTAGCTGAAGTTGTCCCTGCAGAGGAGACAGGGAAAGGCTGATTCTCAGCCTTTTTCTTTTCCAAGTACTGTGATTTCTTCTCTTTCTGTTTAGAATAAATTCTAAATAATGTTAAATAAATTATAAATGCTAAATAATGTTAGAATAATTCTAATGTTTAGAATAAATTCTGGTTTAGTAATAAGCAAGCGCTTATTACTTTATCAGTATAAAACAAATGATAATAACTGGAGTGTATTTGATACAACTTCTGTAACATTATTGCATGAAATGAGCAATCCAGCGTTATATTCTGTGTTCCAACTACACATGAAAACTACTTTAAAATAAATGTTACAGCAACATAAGTCAGCATGGAGGGGTAGGGAAATTGTCAGATCCTCCTCGTATTTGTTTTCCCTGTGCCTATGAAGGGAGTTAGAAGAGGCTATGTAGACTGGCTAAGTCTGGACCTCCAAGCTTAGGAGGTCAGTCACCCCAGGCTTCACATATTGGGGCAGTGGAGGAGTTCCTCCAAGAGTAAGAATCAGAGCAGGATCCTGACTTAGGTACGGAATCACTCTGTGGTTTTGCCTCTCTTATTCATGAACTGACACATGAATACTTCATGCTATTCAACCATCAAACATTTTGACCTCATTTGTCACTCCAGGAATGCAGTGCTGAGCCACCAGTGCTACTTTCAGTTAACTTCACTGCCCACTCAGTCCTACTCTTCCTCTTTCCTCTGGCCAACCTCTTCCCAGGCACTAATGTCTGTGTGTCTGAATGTTATCCAGATTCTCCAAGACCATATTTTCTTTCCTCTCCTGCGCGAATTTTGCAAGTCACTTCCCCTAGTGCTATACAGAACAATGCAACTTGTTACATAATTGTAACAAACTTGTTAATTCAGCTCCCAGAGCTCCTTCTACTATTTCAAATATCTAGAACAACCTGTTGTTTGAAGGAAAATAAACTGTTCCCTCAGCTGTGGAACTGATGAAGTTGATCTGCTATGGGTTTGTATTCTACATCCTACCTCTTTCCTCATCATAGTAATCCGAGATCATTTCCTTGTATCATCTATAACCTCACTCCACTTACACAGTATTTTCATTTCCTTCCCTCATCTCTTTATCTCATATTTCCTCATATAATAAGGTCTATCTCATAATTAATCACCATCTAAACACGAACTGGTGCACAAACAGACCAAATACAACAGAAAATGGAGTTCCTGCTATAGTTTCTCCCCTTTAAAAGCTTGTAGTATATTGGAGAGCTCCACTCCTCTGTCAAATCTGGTTGACATAGGCTCACAGGAGAGCTATGGGCTTAACTAAAAATTAAAACATTGAACAAATTGTTCCTGTTCTTTTTCAACTAAGTATTCAAACCAGAATCTAAAGTATATAAAATTCAATACTGCTCTATGCGTGGGTTAAAACTACTTTGTGGTCACTGCTGTATCTGTATCTTACAGGACTGTTTAGGAAGGGAATTCTCCTTCGTGTAAACAGACACAGGAATTTTGATTTAAAAATATAGCCAGGTTTCACAAAAACATGTTCATAACTATAATTTTAGACATTTGACCAAATAAATTCAGCAATGTATGCAATGCACTTGCAGGAAGAAAAAGACTAACAGTAAGGAGCAAGTTTAATTCAGATAATCCTAATGTATGATCCTTTATACGTTAGTAATTCTCAGCATTTGCTGCTGCTTGCAAGTATGATCTTTAGATGAAATGATACAACTTCTTGTCCTTACACAGTGGCAAGGCATCATTAATTTCAATATGAAACAGTACTAGAAGTAATCCTTCTCTGCAGTATTGTAACAACATGACAATGGCCAGAAGAAATATTAATGATCTGACTTGTGAGACCAAGTCCAACCTCAATCTTCCCCATTATTACAGACATCTTATGAGAGCTAAATCAGAGGCCATAAGTGCTTCACGAAAAAAAACTCACTGACTAGAGATGGCCACGGCTTGAAATGCTACCAGGACCAAGCTTATGACCTAGTCCTCAGAGCAGCATCCTCTTCTAACCCACAGTGACAACCAGGTACCTCTGTAAAATATTTCTCCTAGCAGCAAAATCGTCTCAGCCCCTTTCAGGATATGTATCCCATCACTCCTAGTCTCTCCTGCTCCTTCCAGCTTCAATAACCTTACAGCAGTTTCACACAAGCTGGTGACACTATAGAGCTGAAGGTCAGCATTAGTGTTGCAACCATATAGGAGTTGTGCAGTGCTCAGACCAGCTTCGAGACGCAGGTTGTTCTCCCCTTCCTCCTGCCTTCTACCTGGATGCTGGAGAGGAAAAATTAAAAAGTAACTTTCCCTGAGATCCATGAGGTCTCATACCAGCCCCTGCAAAAGTTGGCCATGGCAAAGGGAACAGAGCCATACAAACACAGAACCCGTGAAGCCCCTGCTCTGAAAGGCAGCTTCTGTAGCTGAACTGTTTTCTTCTCTCTAAACTAGAGAGGCATGGGTTTGATGGACGGACCACTCGGTGGATAAGGAATTGGCTCAATGGCCGCACTCAGAGAGTAGTGGTCAACGGCTCGACGTCCAAGTGGAGACCAGTCACGAGTGGCGTCCCTCAGGGGTCCGTGTTGGGCCCGGCCCTCTTCAACATCTTTGTCAGTGACGTGGACAGTGGCACAGAGTGCACCCTCAGCAAGTTCGCCGATGAC